ATTGATTTGCCTTCTCTTTAAACCATGTTCCCCACTATAACTGTGAATTGGCCTCTAGGACACCTATAATTAACTCTTTTTAGGCCTGAGGGATAATTTTATTACAAGTTAACCACGAGTTTAACATCTGCTTTACAAATCAAGAATGCATGCCATATGATACTATACCTTCTTTAAATCTCCTTAAATCTAACATTTCCACTGGAGTCCAGTTAGCTTGTTCACAATGTGAGCATTTGGCAGTTCCTCTAAGATTATTGGGTACATTAAAATTAGCTGCCTGGAAACCTGAGGCTGTATCTCTGTAGCCATATAATTCAATCCTGAGATAATTTCACCTTCACCTTCTGTCCAGGTCTGAATCTCTCTATAATTCATTTTAACAGGTTTTTCTAAAGTCAGTCCTGAAAAATGTCCACCTTTAAATGCTTTTGTCTGGATCTGAATTTCTCTGTGATTCATTTTAACAGATTTTTCTAAAGCTTTTAGGTTGGCACTAAAACTGACTAACCATTTTAATGCTAAAATAAAAATGATCAAACACATAATATTTATAATTGATGCTATGTACATCTCATCCATATTAATTTTCCTCTCATTTAATTGTTCTGCTTTCAGATAGCCTAATGTATTATCAAACAGAGAGCCAATTCCTTCCATAGTAAAAATGTTTCTCATTTTTGAATATGAGGGAAAAAATTCTTTTTAAACTAATTTTACCCTTTAAGACATCTGAATTAACTTACCAAGTCTGTTGACTGTGTAGAACAGTCGAAATCTGAGGGAATTTCAAATCAGCTAACTAGTTTGGAGCAGTCTGAGATGGGAATCCAGAGAGAGCCTATCACCTACCACAAGAGAAGAAGCGAAAGAAACTCTGGCCATGTGCAGCTCGGCCTGAGCCTTGCAGCCTAGACCTGAGAAAGGGGGCCTGGAACAAGCAGCTTTTCAGTGAATTCTTGCCACAATCACTGGTCACCAATTGTAGATGACCTTCTAATGGCCTCATTAAATAAAAGTCATGGAGCCAGACATAGGGATTAAAGCCTGAGAGAGATCAGAGGAATAGGACAGCCACAAGCTAAAATCACCTCACCAACTCTGCAGCTCCCAAATGAGAGATACTTCCTGTCCACCCACACCTATATGCCTTGCTGTTCTGCCATCTGATTTGCTCTCTCTGTCCAGTTACATCACTTCCTCTTCAATGCCCAGCTCTCTCAATTCCTATCTGTGTGTACAGAGATCTTGGTTAACTAGTGTTAAAATTTAGGGCAAGTGCCACCACACCTGGCTCTGTTTCCAGTGTGGCCTTGAACACACAGAGATCAAGACAGATGCCAGCCTTCCAATTGTAAGGATTAAAGGCAGGTGCTACAGTTGCCTGACTTCCTTGTTTACTTATAATGGCTTGCCTCTTCCTCGACTCTCCAGGCAAGCTTTATTTATTAAAACACTAATAAAATCCCACCACATTTGAACACAAATAAAATATCACCACAGCCATGCCTGTGCTTTTAAGCTTGGAGCCATCTCTCTGCCTCCAAGGTCTTTGAATAGAGGGTCTCACTCTGTATCTCAGG